CCCCAGTACATCAATCAATGCCACCGCAGCCACGCATGTACACAGTTACGCTGGGAGAGCTGGCAAGACTCTCCTCCTGGAGTCTGTGTAGTGGGCATGTCAGTGTCCATTCCACCACATCTATCTTCGTTTTCTCTTCCAGGAAAGCTAACATCATGGAGAATGCCTGATTTGCTCGGGGAGAAGAGGAGGCATCTGTGCTCTCCAGTGGATCCAAGTATAATATGAGTCGCTCCTTCATGGATATGGCCACCAGCACCCAGTGGTCACCAGTAGGATTCCTTGGGGCCAGAATCACTGAAGCGGCACTGATGCCATCTCTACGGTCTGCCCAAAGCATTCCAGTTGGCTGACCCCTCGCTCGCGGACGCGCGCGAGTTGTACTCGCGTTACGACCACGCGTTGGACTACACCGAGCTCGCGTGCGACTCCAGCCTGCTCTCCAAGTTGCTCACGTTCTTCGATTAGGACTTGTCGTCGGAGATGCACAAGCGGCGCGTCGACACGCTGCGGGGAGTGTTCGGCGAGCTCAACCCGCACCACTACCTGCTCGTCTGCCGGCAGCTGACGTACGAGATCGCCGAGACGTACGGCGAGATGATCGACATCAAGATGGCGATCGTCGAGAAGCAGCAGACGACGCCGTCGCCGCATGCAGTCAGGAAGATCAACCTGCTTTGCACCAAGTGCATTCGCAATTTCGAGTTGTTCCTCGACTCGTTAAGACGGCGAATGGCGAGATTCGGAACAGTTAGACAACGAATATTCGTCCAGTGCTGATAGCTTACTTCTACATGGGCCGCATGCATTCGAAAGTCATCGATTCCAATGTTCACAAAAGGATAGTGTATTCAGAAGAGCATTGATTGCTATCAGTTATTAGTTAGTTATTGTGAAAAGTACCCAGACATGGATACCAGTGGTTTCTTTTTGTCACGTCGATTTTAGAATAATCATCACATCGCCGATATTTGTTAATGGTTTGTTTTTTGTCGTTAGTAATTTTGTTAGTTGTTACGGAGGGAGTGAACTCAATAAAATGCGTGGTTATTTGCCTGTCGGAAGGATAAAAAGCCCCCCTAAACGCGTTTTGTTCTAGCGCGAAATGTTCTCTTTTGAAATTGTTTTAAAAACAAGTACTAATCTTCGTGTTGATGCCCCGTAGTTGCGGTTTGGAGCTACTGTTTATAACTCGTCACTGTAGCTTAATATTAGTTAGGGGGTGGTAAAACTACAGTCGCAGTTTTATTATTATAAATAACTCGTATAATTATAAATGTCCCGTTTCGGCGTACACATGCTCTCACATACATCGTTTTCTAGTGTGGTTAGTTCTAGCTACCGCTAAAGCATATACGCAAGTAATTTCTTTAAAATTTATTTGGCAATATCTATCCATTTTTGCGGACAAGCAAACCAGAGGCGAGTACCACATATTTTACTGTGTGAATCCATGTTTGAATTAAGGAATATTGCTTCGATTAGCATCGAACGACTATTATAAATTATTATTATTGTTAGTATACAAAAATAAATATAGCACGGTTCTATCAATCATAAATGGTTTGCACGAAAAGAACTGTACAAGTATTTCTATCTCGTTTATAAACGAGAATTTCCACTTTAAAATCTATGCTCCGGCAATGACTTCTTTGTGACTTTTCTTGTTGTTAAACGAAAACCATTAACACACATCAGACCTGGAACTACTCAGAATGTCGTGCTGGAGTGTTAGTACATGTTGGATAGAACCGGGATGTGTTCCGTGTTCAATTCTTGTGAGGCTAACTTCGGAAATAATTTTCAAACTCTTTGTCTTGAGTAAATTTTCAAGCACAGATTCGTTCCTGAACATATAAGGAATGGTCGGCGTTTAACAATGTGTTTGGGATGCTAGGTTAGCGTGCTGGTGGTACTCAATAATCCCGCGTGATTTACAAATCCTTGTCAAAATGGGGACTAACGGTAGATTATTTTCGAGATGTTGTAAGGTAAAATATAACACCATGGACTAATCGAGTGATGTAAACATTTTTGAACATGTCTCAAGGATATGGCCTTGAGCTCAAGGCTATGCTTGCCTATTATGTAGAATTTTTAAATTGGAAAATGTAATGGCCTTGGGCTTGGCTATTTCAGAAACTGGGAAAGTGGTCGACGGCCACGGTCAGGCGAATGTCACTGGCGTCCAAGGTCCAACGCAAGCAACAATTCTACACAACAACAACACAACTCCTATAACCTCTCTTGCATTCTACTACTGCTCTACTGCACTGTACTATACTATACTGCTCTACTGCCCTATCTGGACTGTACTCTACGCTACGTTTATACTCCTCTAACTGCACCTGCTACCCTCTACTCTTACTATAGCTGGTCTATGGCGCTAAATATTCTGTACTTCTCCTCTTACGATAACTGCTACTTACTGCTCTACTGCACTGTTACTCTACTCTTGCTCCTCTACTGCCTCTACTGCACCTCTAGTTTATATCTAACTTCACATTGGGCGAGATTCCCACCGCCGCACCAGTGATTCACTTGCCACTGCTATTATCCTACCACTTTATCTTTACTGAAATTATGATATAGCTGTCTGTTACCAAATTATTTGTGAGCATCGTTTACAATAATCATCATCACTATAACGTCACCTTCTGAAACTTTTAGTTTCGAGAATATATTTATTAAAAGTTATTTCAATCGTAGACAACATGTGGTAATACACACGCGTGATGGACTTCAATAACGTAATTGTAACTATATGTACTACTGAACTATATAAAAAACACGAGTTGTATAATCAGGGGACCGTTGTCAGGACACTCTGAATTAAATTCTTGTTGTATAGGCCCTGTTATGGTGGCTAGAACTGCCATAAAAAAACTATTAAAAAATGAAATAAAAAATAAAAAAAATTAAGAGAAAATTTAAAATGAAATAAAAATTGAAAAAAAAAAAATGAAAATGGAAATTGAAAATAAATAAAAATGAAATGGAAAAAAAACAAAAAAATTATTGAAAATGTGAGGTGTTGGGAAAATGAATTGGAAAATGAAATGAAAAATGAACAAATTGAAATGTTTTTCACCAGTGGCCTTGCAATGCTGATTCTAAACAGAGGGAATTGCTCCGCACCTGTGATTTGCGAGGATAAAAATCAGACCCCGCCCCACTGTTTTCATTTTTGCGAGGATAAAAATAGGAAGTTCGTGACGTTTCGTTTCACGGTCATTAGCGCGCGTCGCATATTTGCTAATTAATTAGACTAATCCGCGCTTTAATAGTACTTCAAAATCACGAGCATTAAG